TGCATCCAATGATAGCAGGGAAATTCTCTCTCTAGAAGAAGAGAGGCCTACGATATCGCGGCCATTAAGTTCCGAGGTGTCTCCGCCGTCACAAATTTCGACATTAGCAAATAAGATGTCAAGAGAATATGCTCAAGCACGATGCTGATCGGTGGTGATCTCGTAAGAAAAAAAAAATGAAGAAGTAGAGTAGAAAAAAAAAAAGGTGGTATTTTTTTTAAGCTGTGGGCTATTGTTTAAGAGCTCAATTTCATTAGCCTTTTTTTTTTATATAACTGTACTCAAAAGAAAAAAAAATGTATTTTGCAAATTGGGTGTTTCTTCGCATCCACACCCATCTTGAGGGGGAGAGTATAAGAGATATGGAGATGAGATAAGTAGAGATGAAGTCAACATCTCTAGTGTAACCGCTATGTGGACAAGGAAATCCAGATTCTGGCTCAGTCCAACTATTGTGCAAAGGGAAGTTATGATCATATTGATTCAAGAGTTCCAGTCTCCAGATGAGGAGATGAAGATGATCGAATTTCTCGATCCGAGTTGATGATCAAGAGTTCCCTCTCTAGATGAAGAGATGAAGATGATTGAATTTTTCGATCCTGATTGATGATCAAGTTTTCCATTACTTGATCATGTTTGATGATGGAGTTTTTCGTTACTCTATCTTATGTGATGATCAAATTTCTCGATCCTGGTTGATGATCAAGTTTTCCGTTTTTTGATCTTGTTTAATGATCAAGTTTTCCGTTGCTCCATCCTGTGATGTTCCGAAGAAGAGAGAAGAAAAATCATTGTCTTTTAGAGAAAGAAATCCTCTAGAAAGAAGAGAAGCCTATGAAGAGAGAAGATATTCAGAGAAGCCTCTGAAGATAGAAGATATTCAGAGAAGCCTCTGAAGATAGAAGATCTTTAGATAAGCCTCTGAAGAGAGAAGATCTTCGGAGAAGAAAGTAGAGTGCCCAAGAAAAGTTGTTTCTTGGAAGACCATGGTAACATGTGAAATTTTTTTTTGGCAACTTAATATTATTCAAACTCGAACTACTTTGTGTCAAAGCATCTTGAGTTTGAGGGGAAGTATTGGGACATGGATATCTCGGCTCCATATTGATATACATCATTATATATATAT